GAGAAACATTCACTAGAACATGAGCAGTGAGACAACATTTCTTTGGAGACATCCTGCTTCATCCCCTCCTCCCCCACCCGGCACTCTCCAGCATGTAGACACAAAATGACATATGCGGAATGAGTGCTCCTGAATGAGTCAAGCCTTAATAGCAAATTGCGTAATACAGATTTTTATCCCTAAATCTCAAACAGGATAAAATCACCCACTTTTTTTTTTAAACAAGGATTAAGCAGAATGAATGAATGAGAAAGTGAAAACACTGCAAGATTTGTTTCCATTTATCTTATCTTTTTTCCACCTCCATACTGCAAATAATTGAGGGGAAAAAATGAGAGGACCTACCGATAGAAAGAGCTGGTGTGAGAGCAGCGGTAGCGCTTCACCACGAATCCCAAAGCCATGGCTACTGGCTGCCCTGGTGCCTGGCAGGGTCCATTCTTAGCAAGCACAGAAGGGAACGTTTGGCAAACTACGACTATCTGATAATGCCATAAAATCACTTTTACTACATCAGGAGGATTCCCACGTGGCAGTAAATCCCAGCAGGGCAAAACCCTCCCAGCTGTCCACAGAGCTTTAATGCCGTTGCCGAGAGCATATGCAACCAGGCTCAACCATCTTTACTCCCCACCAGAAACAAACCTAAGGGAAGGATTATGAGGCCGGTTGGAAATGCTCTCAGACTCCCAGCCACAAATTGACTATATTAATTTGGTCTCTTTGCCCCATCCCCTATCCAAAGCATGTTATCCTTGAACCTTTTATGCTGTTTTACCTTTAGAGTCAGTAGACAAGTTTTATGCTTTAGGAAGACACTCCCAACACACGTAAGATGCAACTGTGTGAGACGAATGCAGTGGGAACCTGCCTAGGAAAAATGTGAAAGCTGACACGGTAAATGATGCCAGATGCTCTTGCAACATGAGATACTGCATCCCAGAGAGATACTGTATAGGATATATGTATCTGGACAACTCCATTCAAATCTGGTTTAGGTCACAAATGAGAAGGGAGTCTGGAAGTTTCAAGCTAGAGCACTGCAAGATGAGAAACAATTTTGCAGGCACAGCAGGCTCTGCTCAGGAGAGAGCCAGAAACTAGAATAGCTTAAGTGAGGTAAGTCAGTGATAAAACTGTGCTGTGGAAGATGCAGACCCAGACTGGGTGCACAGGTATTGTGTTGTTAACATCCCAGTTTTGAAGAGCTGGCCTGGTATGCCAGCCAGTTATACTGAAACCTGGTTTTGAACCCAGTTTCAGTATATTTAAGCTGGATGATCAATTGCTTCCCCTCTGTAGCAGTCCCAGTTGCATCCTGTATGGCAGTTCTCATTCTCCAAACCCCTTCCCTACAATGTTTCTGGGTCATCTCTCTACCTCAAAACAATTCTGCTCACAGGGCATCACCTGCCAACATCCTGAATGAGATACACGTCTGCAATACCAAATCCTGAAACACACCAGGATAAGTAAATCTCCTGACATTTACAGGTATTTATCTATAAATTGAACCGCTATCACTATAGAACCTGAACATCTTGGAACCATTAGAAAAATGAAACAGCAATATTCATCTCGCTCCATACCCACTCGGTAGGAAGGAGCGAATTTTTGTGAATGATTTTGGAGTAAGCTAATGACATTGTTTATTTTAATAATAAATAATAATAATGTTGCTTTTTTTGTGAAATGGAATGAAGTTAGTCTCCTGCCTATCTAGCCCTAGAAACTTGCATAACACCATGACATCCTTTGTGAGTATCTCCTTAGATTTGGGTAGGTATGTTTCACTGGGGATTAGGCTAGGAAAGTTCTTATATGTAATAAATCAATAATAATAAAGGGGCAGCGAAGACATAGGAGGTTGGGAAGAATGCTAATTCATTCATATTAATTATACACAATTGCAGAAAAACAAATGCTAATTTTTCACCTTTCTTTGTTCACAAGCTAGTTTTAATGGTTGCATCTCCCTCTTTTGTCCTTTGAATAAACAAATTCAATATTGTTTTAAAGAGGCTGAGAATATTTTTTTTAATTCCTCCTCCTTCTCCCACCCCATCACCCCCCCCTTTTTTTTTTAAGCTATCTCTTCCTATCTTCACTGCCTCATTCCCACGTGAATTCTCAGTTGTCTTTTCACACCATACCAGCCAATTGTGTTTTCTGAAACCTTTGGCTGCAAAGTGAAACTTAGTAAAAATCATTGGTAAGATTCACTGTACAGTGGGGTTGAGCTTCCTTTGTGGTTGTATTTATAAAGTAAAGTAACGTATACAATTACACACTTTCAAAGATGCTGTATTCGAGTGGTGCATTTCCGGATAAGAGGCCACTAATGCAAACACAACTCCATTAAACATTCAGTCTCTTCCATGTAAGGTGCCCAGGAGGTTAGTACTGCTACAAACGCTCATCAATTTCTTTCCAAAGAGATTGAAACAGTACTCTTTTCCCTCATTGTCCTGTAGCATAACACTTTACAAATGCGCATTGGGAGAGCATCTGTGATGTCAAAAGAAATTGCTACACACTTCAAGCAAAAGAGTAATATTCTCTTACACGAACAGTAATTTATTGATAGCAACAAAGAAGCTGGGGTGAATTTTATTATTGCCAGATGAAGCCTAACTATTCTCTCCTGGCTCGCTGCTTCACCTTGGGCCTTTATCTACCCAACTTAGTCTCTTCTCCAAATGAACAAGGATTTGTCCTCATTGTTTAGATTTCTTGGCTGCCTATCATAGCTCCTGCTGAGTCCTTTAGAATTCCTGTGCAAATACATTAAAAATTCAATTTTCATGTCACAGGGCCAAGGGCTGGCAAAGTCACAAATGCCAACAACGCCCTCTGACCACTACCCAGAAAAAGGATTGCTGTGCTCAGAGTGTGGAGCAAGCCCGGTATTAGAAAGCAGAGTAGCTTAATTCCCAACTATCTTAGCAACTCTTGTCTGACCCCCTCCTAGCAGCATCTCTAGCGCGGGGACAAGGCGGAGGAGGTGTTGGAGTAGGAGCTGCAGTTGATAGGGGAATGGTGGCAAAGATGTGTGGGAGCTACAGACTGCAGGGGCATGAGGCACAGAAGTGGGAGTTCTGAGGACAGTGCTGTAAGGGGGAAGGTTGGTGTGGAAGCGCTGGGGGACGAGAGATAGGGAAAGCAGCAGCTTTCAATCATGCTAGCCAGCCTCCCTTTCAGGCTGCTATACTTTGCATCTAGCTCTCCAGCTCCCCATTTCCTCACCCCCTATATTGGGCCCTACCACTGGAACGCCTCAATTCATTTGCCCACTGGGCCATTATTTTTAAATTCAGCCCTAGGCGTCTTAAGAGGATCATGGCACATTAACACAACAGACTGATGGTGCCAAATGGCATCAGGGCCTGAAATAGAATTTACAGTTTGCAAATCATTGCCGAGTCCCTTAGGTCTATCTGATTATTCATGTCTGCATGCTAAAAACCTGTGTGCTATCTTTTAGGAGAAAAAATAGGGTGTGTAGAGTAGCCAGCTTCTACACCAAAGTAACTGGTGTTAAATATAATTACCCCTTTCCACCCTCAGAAAACAGTGCTTCCCTTATGCAGTAAGAGCAAATGTCCATCAATCCACATGTAGCAAGGCGGCATTCTCAGCTGAAACCATGTGTAGCCAGAGGAACACAAATGCAGGCTTTACACTACTCATGGGTGTAAGACTTTATATCAGAAAACTTTGTTTAAAGTTCGCAAAATCCCCCATTAAAAACCACAAGGTATCACCAGGTAGTGACCGCATTCACCACGTTTAAGCCTATGGAGTCAATTTTCATAGCTGAGTTATAAGTCCCCGATAATAGGAATTTATGACAGACCTTTAGTCAAAATAGCATGGGTGACATGGCAATGATTGAAGGAGCAGCACATCATCCACTTTGTTGGCTACATCCTGTAAGCAGTTTCTCCATAACTCACAAAGTTAACAAGGCCTCTAACATCTGAAGCCTTGCTGTCTCCACGATTTTATGGTGCTGCTTTTTAAGAAGGCAGCACTATCGACTGAAGCAGCGCAGCATGACAGACACAAATAATGAATTCAGCCCAGCAGAGAGAGCGAAAACGCATTAAACACACAATAATGTTGTAAAGTCAAAGAAGCCTGTCAGGGTCCTAAGTACTGGGCAGCCCATTTACCACTCAATCCAACTCTACCACTGGGCTTCACAGAGTAAAAAATAACCTGTCTGGCTTCCAGTAAAGATGATCATGACACTTTACAAAAGCGAAAAATGCAGTTGAGGCGAGTAAAAACCAAAACATATTGCCCCTCCCCAAGCCACCAGCAAAATACAAGCAAGCAAAGATATACTGACTGAGAATGCTAAAGTGCGTCTCACCAAACTAGCTTCTGAATTTTGGGAGCTGTAATCCTGACTTCTAGTTTTCTGAAGAACAGGCCCTGCTTCCATTAAACAAATTCACACTGCGGTAAGTACATGATTGTATCTGACAACAGTATGAATCCCCAATAGTGATGCTCTGCAGTACAGTATGTGTTGGGGATTTGCACTGTAACTACATCACACAACCCCTAATGAAGATGCACTGCATCAGGATATTTGTGTTTGCAGTGCTGTAAATACACTGGTGTAAATTTCTCTAATGCAGACAGGGCCACAATACTGTATTGTGAAACTTAACACTTATAAGGTGTTTGGAGACCTGGGAGGAGAGGTGCTAAAAAAGAACAAGATATTTTAGTGCAGACACTTAAGCAAACCCTTTTTCACCAGCCATCTTTAGGACTAGTAACAATCTCATCTGATGGAAGCACACGCAACATTTAACAGGCCAACAGATATATTTCTGATCGTTTAAAAAACAAAACCACTCTAGTTGTCCCTCATTTCTGTCAGTTTGCAGGCATGCTTACACAGACTAACACGTGTTGCCAGGCATTTTTGGAAGAGTTGAGCTGAAACTACCAGCCTCCTTCTGAGGAAGTGCAGAAACTCCTACCTGTCATCAGCGTTGCGGAGAGATGGAAGACGGAAACTTGTATTCCTGTCCAGCTTTGACTGGCTCTTTGTCCTCTTGATGGAGCCTTTCAGACGTTTGCTGAAGAAGCCCTAAAATGAAGTGTCATAGCAAGTGAAACAGGGAAACTCTTATGCAAGTAATGACTAAACCAAATGGGCCTCTCTCTACTTTATAAACCAAAAATGCTTCAGTCTCCAACAAAACTCAAACTGCTCATAACCCCATTAAGGTACAATAAAAATTATTGCATGACAAGAGGAGAAGTTATAGTACAAAGAGTAGTAACTTGACATTTCCAGATTTTGACTGCATGGCATACAGACTGCATTACAAGACCATCAGTTAAAGTAGAGCTGTGTTAATAAGAGAGCAATGGAAGCCACACCTAAATATTTTGTTAAGAGAAGACACACTTTACATTTTTTGAGCTCAGCATTGCTTGCTTATCTCCTCTTCTGTCCTGTAAATCACTGAGTACATGTGCCAAATTATTTCCAAGGTTTGCCAACACACAAGCATTCCTGGCCCAATCAATGCAAATTTAGCAAGTCTTCATCCAATAGGATTAAGCAATATTTTATTGGCTGAAACACCTCTCTCTCTTCTTTTTGGTGAAAGAGTCACACATAGATATTTCACTTTAACTTGGCATAGCTATCATGGGATATATTAAATGCATCTAAGTTAAATCGTATTTCTTTACGGAAAAGCATAGCCTGGTAAGAGAAATTTGCCTAACTTCACAGGCTGTTTCTCTATAAGCAAAGTCAAGGGAATTTTACAAGAGATGTCAAACACAGTTGTACCCTCACGGGTGTTGAAAATTCACTTACCGCCCTCCTCCCTTCTCTCCAATTTCTAACTCAAATTGGTTCCCCTCTTCCCTCCTCCTCTAACTACCTCTAGAGATGGAGCACTGAGGACTGAGTGTAGGCTCTGTTCAATTTTCAAATGCAGACGAGCGTTTCAGAGGCCAAAATTTACAGAAAATTCTGAGAAAACTCCTCTCCCCCACCACCCACAAGTTCTTCAGTTAGCACTAGATGCCAATATCCTCACCCTCATTCAGCCTTCTTTGAGGGAAATGTGAGGAGGGCAGCAGATTAATAAAAGCTCTTCCACCCTCTTCTTCCAAAATTGGTAAGAAGCTCTTCTGAGCAGAAGGAGAGCGCCTCATCCCCAAATACAATATCAGCCAAAACAGGAAAGAACTTGCTTGAATGCAGCTGCTTGAGAAGTGTTCCCCAAACCTTTGCACAGCCCCATGACCCAGTGAAATGATTGCTATGCTAAAAGAAGTCTGTTTCCTGCATCTGCTGCTGCCATCTGGGGCTGGCTGTCCCCCAGATTAGGGGTGATTCTTACAAGGCAACACCCCACAAAGTTGGTTAATGGCTAGGGAACATCTACCTAATGCTCCTTGACAAATCTTGGGAGAGAAGGGGAAAGCTTTCCCCCTTCCCAGAAACTGGAAGAAGCAGGGCAGGGAATGCAGCCCTCTCCCTTTCCCTCCCCGCAACGCCCTCAACCCAGAAAATTTCGAAGTACAGGGTACATGTTGTCCATTAAGGGGAAAAGACATCTGAAAAAGGGAATGAGTGTTTGTGGCTATACAAATCACTGAAACTCTAACTAGGTTCCTGGACCTTTTGGGCCAGATCTTGAAAAGGTGCCTTTAAAAATGTTGGAATTGATCCAGAAGAATGAAAGCACTTTCATTTAGTCTGACTTTCCATCACAAGAGGTAACAAGACCCAGCTACTGGGACTTGGCCCTGGTGGACCTTGGCTGCATTCCAGCACTACGTGGCATGCTCAAAGTGCAGACGCTGTGAAGCTGAACACTTCTGCTGCGCTGCGCCATGCCCTGCACACTGCCCCTGCCCTCCAAGCAACAAACTAGACAAGCCCTCCTGACCTGACAAGAGTCAGAATGGGGCCCCAAACTGTTTTTGAAGTTAATTGACTCCATTCCCAGCAGAGATGGACCCCCGACTGTTAACTCTTTCAGTGTTTATAATCATTTTAGTGTCACATGACAGGGACAATGGACTTTTTTACTGAGCAAAATGTATAACAGGTTAACTGGTCAAATATGGCTATCCAAATGTTGGTTATAAATGACAACTTTCAGGATAGCCAGATGTGTAGTGCTATCACTCTGACAAAATAAAATAAAATAAAAAATCACAAGCAAATCGCAAAATTTTTTTTTGTTTGTTTCTGAAAACACATTAAATTGTTTGCATCTTAGTTGTTCTCTGTACTTTGCTATGGGATCACGTAAGGCTGATGACTGGAGATGAATAAATTGGGAGCAGCATGAAAAATTCACACATGCTAGAAAAACTGAGATGAGCTTTTTGACCTTTATGTTTCTTTGCTAAAAGAAATCTCTCAAAATGTGGAATGCAAAAATAAAGGGGAGGTGGCATCCAGCATTTATTTGCAGCAAACACTATCCAACTTAAAAAAAGAAGAAATCTTTTTAAACACTAATTCCGCCTGAACAAATTTTTCTTTCCCTGAGTTCAACACTATATTTAAAGAGACATCATATGGTTAAAATAATTTTTAGGAAAAAAATTCCTTGTCAATGCTATTAGTAGTACCTTAGTGGGTAGGTCTCTCCCCCCCCCCCTTTCTTTTTTTTTTTTTTTTTTGCTATTTATGCTCCTTATAAGTGTAGCATTTACCTGAGCACAGATAGTTGAAAACAGACACTTTTTGGTTCTCATTTCCTAGCAGAGGAGTATTTCTTTTTAAAAAACAGTTTAAATTTAATGAAACATTTCCATTGGTGGTTTTAAAACAAAACAAAAGACTCTTGCTACCTCAACTGTAAAAAACAGGTACACAAATACTTTATTAACAACACACCAGGGTGTTTGTGATGATTAATTAGATGCAAAGCACTCTGGAGATGAACAACACGATATAAATGCTGACACTTAAGGAGTCAAACAGTAAAAGAATAACTGTACGAGAGTTCTTCCCTAATCAGACTCTCTCGACATTGCTTCAACACTCCACTCCTAATGAGACAAATGGCAAATTCAATACAAACCAACTTTACCCCTCAGAACCACACCAGCAGAATCTCACATGTGCCTTCTTATCTTCGCGTCACTTGAAAACTCAGCAGCCGATTAAGAGTCCCACTACTTTCTGTCCAAACGATGTGCCAACCACGGGTGTGTCCACACTACAGTTGCTACAGGGGCTCAGCTACAGGGCTGCAGTCGTGCCACTGGAGCACCGTAGTGCAGACACTTCCTAAATCGACAGAAAGGGGGTTTCCACCTATGCAGGTAACCCACCTCTTTGAGAGGCAGTAGCCAGACGGATGGAAAAATTATTTCATCACCCTACCTGTATCTACAATGGGGGTTAGGTCAATCTAACTATGTCACGCAGGGCTCGGGTTACCAGATGTCCTGGTTTTATAGGGACAGTCCCAATTTTTGGGTCTTTTTCTTATATACGCTCCTATTACCCTCCACTCCCATCCTGATTTTTCACATTTGATGTCTGGTCACCCTATGCAGGGCACAAAATTTTTCACAGCCCTGAGTGATGTTGCTAGGTTGATCTAATTTTTAAGTGTAGACCAGGGCTCAGAAGAGGTGAATAAAGTGGGACTTTACAAATGCAGTTTTCAGTGGCAAAGAGAAGGAAGGGGACTATAATCCCTGACAGCAGACATTAAGTGTGATGGGATGATAGCTGTAAAATGCATCTATGCATCACTTATAGCAGCATCATTACTGCAAAACAGGACACCCGCTCTCCTGTATCTCAATACAACAGGGGACAATCACCAGGGGAGGAGGATATGGATGCCCAAACAACCAGCTTCACAGACAACATGGCATGAATGACAATACTTAACTACTGCACACTACAGACATAAGTATTTTTCACTTTGGGGAGAAGAGTTTGTGCATAACAAATAGTGCTTCTCTTAGTAATTTCCACAGCAACCAACAAGCTAATAATAATAATGTGAGCTATCCAGTAAAACACAACATTCTCAGCAGAGATCTACGAGCAGTAAAGTCAGGGTGGAATGGGTGACTGGAAGACTTAGCATCTATGCAACCTTTTTGGATGTAAAATTCAACCTAAATTATCATCTCTTTGAGACAGGGACATTGTCTTTGATGTGTTGGGAAAGTGCCATGTTCATTTATGGTACTGTATTCGTAGCAGTAGTAATACATTATTATTAGCCATAACAATAGGAGTGACTCCTGGACTCTTCCCATCTCAGGTTAAAGGGATTACAGACTGGATGAATTATGGAAATGGCCATCATCTCAATGGAGATAGCGATAGTTGTAGTTATTGCTGCCCCACTAGAAATGCTTTCTAGCTGTTACTGAATGTTCTGAAGAGTAGAACTTTTTTTTATTACGTTCCTCACAAGAGGCTATTGAGAAAGCTTAGAAACCAAGGTGAAAAGTTGTATCATATGTTAAAAATCCAGAGAAGAGACCAAAAGCAAAGCATATGGGAAATCTGCCTGATCTCAGCCCTGGTCTACACTAGGACTTTAGGTCGAATTTAGCAGCGTTAAATCGATGTAAACCTGCACCCGTCCACACAATGAAGCCCTTTATTTCGACTTAAAGGGCTCTTAAAATCGATTTCCTTACTCCACCCCTGACAAGTGGATTAGCGCTTAAATCGACGTTGCCGGCTCGAATTTGGGGTACTGTGGACACAATTCGATGGTATTGGCCTCCGGGAGCTATCCCAGAGTGCTCCATTATGACCGCTCTGGACAGCACTCTCAACTCAGATGCACTGGCCAGGTAGACAGGAAAAGAACCGCGAACTTTTGAATCTCATTTCCTGTTTGGCCAGCGTGGCAAGCTGCAGGTGACCATGCAGAGCTCATCAGCACAGGTGACCATGATGGAGTCCCAGAATCGCAAAAGAGCTCCAGCATGGACCGAACGGGAGGTACGGGATCTGATCGCTGTTTGGGGAGAGGAATCCGTGCTATCAGAACTCCGTTCCAGTTTTCGAAATGCCAAAACCTTTGTCAAAATCTCCCAGGGCATGAAGGACAGAGGCCATAACAG